GTACATCATGCACATATGTATTTATTAGCAGCTTGACTATTTTTCATCCGATTTTAAAAGTCGAAAATGTTTCGAAAGGAGGATTAGGTATAGACTTAGCTTGTTGGGAGTTTTCATCGGGTAAAATTATTTATTTTTTCTTGATTTTTCAATTTTGACCATCGCAATTTCATAAACTTCCATAAAAGGTATAGTATTTATCTAAAAGTACATTCATTTTTTTAATAAATTGATACAAGAATTGAAAAGTAGAGACCTCACTGGACGAACAAAAGTCACGTTCCACAAATCTCTCAGCATACCTGAACTTTTAAATGGCGCAAATACGTGGACGATATAGAACAACAAAGGCTTTGGGGCTTTCGAGAGAACTATACACCAAAAAGGTCAATTGAAGACGAACTTGTCTACGCTTGGGATGAAGAACTTGCTTAAGTTTGTAATAGAGCCGGAAAATTTACGACGGTTTTAGCTCTCGGCCTAAATGAGTAGAAGGTGAGTCGGTATACGACAAAATATAATATAATTATTTTTGAATTATGTAAATAATTGATTTTCTCTTTTAATAGGTTTCAAATACAGTACTGTTCATATCAAAGTCAACATTTAAAGAAAAGCAGTCGTTTTATTGCTCAAAGTTATTTGTTTGTTAAATAATGGAGGGATTTTTATAAAAATATGCTTGCTTATTGAAGATTTGCAGTATGTTCTACGAATTTAGTTTCGGATGTATTTCGTGATTATTATTTTTTTGTTGCCCCGTGTAATTAACAATTCAACGCTAAAAGCAAACTAAAACATATTAATTTGTGTGCAAACAAATTTTAATTAGTAAAAAACAAAAAATTGTATTTTGAACAACGTGGCGTATGAGTAACCCAAAATAATGTAAGGAACACTCTCAAATCAATAAACTAATTTATTTAAAGTGATAGTATTTTTCTGACCTCTACTGTATAGCCAGCCTGTTTTACAACAAGTCGTTTTAGAGCTCTGAAATGTGCAGTTCATTCAACTAAATTCACAATATTAATAAAAGGCATTGAAATTTGTCCATACACGTGTCGTTGCTATGTATTTACATACGTACATATGTATGTACATCTGTATGTGAATAAGTGTCGTTCGATGTACAGAGGTGTCAACATTTTATTTTTCCAACGCCACTAACTGTCAGTTTTTTAAATTTATAATGGGCGGACTAAAATTATACTTAAATAATACATGCTAAATTGTACATATGTATTTATGTGCATACATATACATACAGATTTATATATGTATGTATATAAAGATTGACATATGTATGTATATACAGTCAGTCAATAAAGTTTAGGTACAGCGAATTTTTTACAATACGGGCAACCATTTTTTAAATGTTTTATTTTTTGATAATTTTTTATAAAAATATGGTCAAATCTACAACAAAAAACCCAAAAATCAGGGTTCCAAACCTTATGCAAAATTAAAGAAAATTCCGCAAAATTTCATTCAAATATGGCCCTTTTTACTTACGCTCTCTAGAAAGAAGTTGAGTATGCAGTTTTTTAGCCCATGCAATTTTAGTGTAACAAAGTGCAAGTTTGTGGTGGCTAGGACTTACCATTGATTTTTAGGAATTTTTTTGTTGAAGGTGTCGCTCATTTTCTCCATATAAAATAAAGTTTGATAATTTTTTTATATGGAAAAAATGTCCGACACCTTCAACAAAAAAAAATTCCTAAAAATCAATGGTAAGTCCTAGCCACCACAAACTTGCACTTCGTTATACTAAAATTCAATGGGCTAATAAAAAACTGCATACTCAAATTTTGTCTAGAGAGCGTAAATAAAAAGCGCAATATTTGAATGAAATTTTGCAGATTTTTCTTTAATTTTGCACAAGGTTTGGAACTTTGATTTTTAGGGTTTTTGTTGTAGAATTAACCATATTTTTATAAAAAATTAGTGAAAAATAAAATATTTAAAAAATAGTTGCCCGTATTGTAAAAAATTCGCTGTACCTAAACTTTATTGACTGACTGTACATATGTACGTATTTTTTTAATTGTATGCTGTTTATAAAAAAACATCAAGAATAGAAAAATCATTTCTATTTAAAACAAAACTTCCGACAAGTGTTTATTAACCGACTAAAAATAAAGGAGGTGGTTATCAATTTGTCGGAACATTTTTTTTTGTATGTACATATGTCACTCTGGGTTATGTGAATGGAAAAGGTGGTACCGCAACGGAGGTCCCGATAATTAGATCTTGGATAAACTCACGGTGCTCCTAAATTTTTATATTAGCATTAAAGTGAGTTGTCTTTTTTGCTTAAAAACATTTGTTTTCATTAAGATTCTAAGAAAGAATGTAAAACCCTTCCAATTAAATAACTGGATCTAAATTATCAATATTTACTACTACGTAAACCTAATATAGAAAGGCCCTATCTAAAATTTTGGTTTCTTTAGAGTTGTTATACAACTTTATAAAGAGTCAAGTTCTTCAGCTACGATTCTTTTCATAACATACCCTGGTTTTTAATAAACATAAACATGAAAACTAATTTTTTTGTTTGAAATTCGATTAAGTCTTTAGTGAGTAATCTACCGACTTGTGTACAGAGCTGGGTTGCGGTACAATATGAGTTAGGACCTTTCTCTATTAAGGGAACAATATGTGGTTGAGGCGACTTATAACACATTGGTCCTCATGCATAAACAGTGAGCTTAAGCTCAGACTCAATTTTTGATATGAGTTCAAGCTCAAGAATTCGTACTGAAACTCGAGTCTGAGCTTAAGCTCACTTCTTATGCATGAGGTCCATTGTGCAACTATATTTTAATTTTTGCGCTTCCTTGACTCTTCCGCATGAGAGCTTGTGGTATATTTTCCAATGCCAAATATATTGAAAAGATTTAAATTATTAGCAACATTAATGCGAAAATAATAATCATCATACCTTTTAGAAATTTTATATTTAATGGTGAGGTCCTTGACTGCTTTATTATTTTTCGCAAACTCAATGAAAATTGTGCGGTATTGTGACCCTTTTTCAACTTAATTTTTTTTTTCTATATTACTTTTATGCAGTTTTTAAATTTATTATAAGAGTTTAAAATTTGGTTTTCCACTTAGTTTAAAATCTGGTTTTATGAGTTTAGTTAGAGAATGAACTTTATTTTAATTGAAAATTCTTTAAAATAAATAAATAAACATAAGTGGCAAACAATATCATTTTGATTTTTTTTTTATATTGCAGCGATGTGCGATTAATCGATTAAATATTCGTTTATTTAATCATTATACTTATTAATTAAAATATGTGATTAATCAGATCCTGAGTAATTACTGTTTTTCTTTTTTTCAATTCTCTCGAATTTGCTTTCAAAGCGTTAACAAAAATATACAAACGAGCACTTTACTATGTCGCTCCTTGAAGTAAAAAACTACATATACACATAACTACATACAGTAACTCAAACAAATGACCACTTTTTGATTTTTTTTAGGTTTTACAAGCTTTGACCAAAGCCATAGAAATCATAGTTTCAAAATTTATATGAAATTTAGGAAAATTCAACAAATTTTCATCAAAATTTTAACTTTTTAATTTGAATCTATAGAACATTTTGTTTCAATAGTGTTTTTAATGCAATTTTGCCAACAGCAGTGTTTTCTGCATACACTTGCAGCCAGAACTCTCTTGGCTCCCTTCGTAGTATTTAAAATTCAAAGTGCTGCCTGCACTAATGTCCAGAAGGTTATCAAAAGCTTAATTTGTCGTCTCAGTAGGTTTCTTTTTCGGGTCACATAAAAACGGGTTTTTGTTATCCAGCTGTAGACATCTTCAGAGTCAATGTTGGGAAAATATTCGACAATCGTTTTTTCTAAACCTTCCAAGTTAACGTTGGTAATGCGCGTTAACGCTTAGAAAATAACTCTTACAGTCAATTTCACGAAAGCAATTTAAGTGAAAAATTATTTTAATTTTTTGAGTTTTATATGGAAATTGACAGAAAGTAAAAAATCATTTTTCATTTAAATTGCTGGTGAAACCGGCTGTTAGCTATTTTCTTTGTTTTACTTTGTTTATTTGTGGGGTTTTCATGCAAATTTCTAGAAATTCTAAAATATACCTACATGTCACCAATAAAAAATCTCTGTTATCTTCGCAGCGTCATCCAATACAGGTTTCAAATCTAGTGGCGGCATCTTCTCCTAGTCGCCAGCGAAAATATCGACGGATCAGAAAAATTGAAAAATATTTAAAGTTGTGACTGATGAGACATCTCCTTTTGACTGGTGTAAAGTAAATGTGCGCGAAAAAATTACAACTCCTTTTGATTTTTTTTTTTTAATATTTTCCCAAAGGTTAATGAAATGTAGTCATTTAAAAAGAGGCTACTACTAAAATAGGGATAATTAGGGCATATTTAAATTTATGTCGTTATCCGCTTTTCAATGCAGTCCTTAACAATAACTTGCATTGAAAAGGTTGGCATATCGATGGTCCTCTGCAATAACGACATAACTCAAAATTTCATGCACATATCACATCGACAATATCACTTTTTCTGCGAATACCACCTGGCTTGGCTTGATTTGAAAATAACTTCTTTTTATCGTATTTCGCTCCACACCCTTTGCTGCTTTGACGGTTGAGAGGTCGCACATCCTTATTAACAGGCATATGTGTGTATAAATGTAAGGCTTATAAATAAGTAGATATTTAATTTGAATGTATAAACTGCACTAATAATAATTTCCAATATGAACATGCCAATAAGTTGTGTAATGTCTTGTAATGTGTAGTCAATTAAGTAGTCATTCCATTACGTGCTTAAAAGTAATTAATTTCATTCTTATTGATATTGTTTGTATTCATGCATATATATTTACTTACTTACATATGTACCAATATTTGTATTGTATTGTATATCACAATTATTCCTCTTCTCTTTCTTAAAAACTTTTATACTTCTTTTGTTTGTTTTTTCTCTTTCTAATTTTAGATTGTGTTTTATTGCATATTTTGGTTGGTTGGTGGTTTGTTTTTGGTTGATAAACATTTGTTGCAAGCATTTGGGCCAATGCAAGAAAATAATGTATCGTAGTTCATATCTACAACCTTTTTGTTTGGGAATTTACACAGAGTTGCAACTACAATACTACTACTAAACCCACAGTCTCATGTGTGTGTGAGTGCTGTTTGCTATGCATTTTGGCGCTGGGAATCATGCGGGCGAACACGCACAATCAGCTGGCGTAACGAAATTTTACCACATACTACTACATATCTAATATTTATAAACATACATACATGTGTACATACATTTAATTTGTACTGGATATAAGTAGTAGGCAATAATCCGAATTAACTTATTGATTGCTATTACCGTCAACCTAATATGCAGGACATGCATATAGACTTCCTTAACATAGTATGAAATTCTCCTATATACATAAATATATAAAAAAAACTTAAATTGTATCTTTACGTACTGTATCTACAACTATTAACTACCACAACCACTTGCAATTTATGTATGTTTAGTGTCATCTGCTATTAATACTTACTCGTATTTTGTACACATCTTTACTTACATACGTACTTGCATACATACATACATACATACATAAAATATATCCCATTCTGTGTATTCTTGCATAATCTTTTATAAAGTATATAAGTGCAGATATGTAATTAGTAGTGAGCACATATTTGGTTGTGAGTAGGTGTGCGTTGAGTGGATCTTTAAAAAAGTATACAGTTTTAAGGCTGGTATGCAGCTCTCAAGAAATCGGTCAAGAAAAATTTGCCATTATTTCGTGTGTGTATCCAAGGAATTTTGACATTTTTGATACTTCACAGCCTGTTGCCTCACTCTTTCCTCAAGAAATAATGGAACGGGCATATATTTCTGTTGCAAACCTGGGTTGCCTTGTGCTCTTTTTTCACAAAAAACCTTTAGAAAACCGTAGTAAAAAGCGTAGCAAATTTCTTAAGAACTGCGTACTGTGTGAAGGAAATTTGACTCAAGAAAATTTCTTAGCCATTTCTTGTACGTCATTTTGTATGGAATTTTAGCTTTTCTTGAGAACTGCATACAGGCCTTTAAGGTGTACCTTCCCTAACGGATAAAATATATATACCGTCTTGCTGAGAAAATTATTCTGATTAAAGTAACGAAATGTCCTATATATCTCTGAATTTGACGTGGAATATTTTTTAACAAACACAATTAGAGCATTTCTGAAGATATCACTGACGGTGTTTGTTTATGGTTCATCGTATCAAGATGGAGAAAATATCGTTTCATAGAACTTTTCTAATTAATTGCAGTGGAAAGTATTACTCTACAAGTTATAATTATCGCATAATTATTTGTTGAAATGTTTGGCCGAGTTTCTCCTCCTTTACTCCAACTTTACGTCGCCTCCAAATGGCCAATGGTTTCATTATAAGCTTTTTTAAATTTTAAGAAGTAAATTGTGCATAAATAGCTCTACCTTCTGCCTTTGATAATCTGGATGGCATTGCATTTAAAAAAAAAATAGCCGTAACCATTAAGCACAACAGGCAACTAATCCTGGGTCGAGCTGTCATTTTACTGCGAAATGGAAAATTAAAAAAAAAAA